GGCAACTGTAGACTAGCTTTGTTTTGTGTACAAGATTTTATTACAGTTTCAGTTAGTTAACACACAGCATATGTGATAGTAGTTTCAGGAGTAGAATTTAGTGATTCATCACTTACAACACCCCGTTCTTATCACAACTTCTCTCCTTAATATCCATCACCAGTTTAGCCCACCCCCCACCCACCTTTCCTCCAGCAACCCTCAGTTTGTTCTCTATATTTAAGAGTCTGTTTTATGATTTCCCTCTCTCTTCTCCACCCCCCATGTTCATCTGTTTTATTTCTTAAATTCCACATATGAGTGAAATCATATGGTATTTGTCTTTCTCTGACTGACTTGTTTTGCGTCGCATAATACCTAGCTCCGTTGACATCATTGCAAATGGCAAAATTTCATTTTTTGATGGCTGAATAATATATATATATATATACTTATATACATACTTATGTATATATATATACTTATACCACATTTTCTTTATCCATTTATTGGTCGATGGGCATTTGGGCTCTTTCCATAATTTGGCTGTTGTTTTTTTAAATGGTTTTTTAAATTTATTTCTGAGAAGGAGAGAGAGACAGCGTGAGCAGGAGACAGTCAGAGAGAGAGGGAGACCTAGAATCTGAAACAGCTTTCAGGCTCTGAACTAGCTGTCAGCACAGAGACCGACATGGGGCTCAAACACACGAACCATGAGATCATGACCTGAGCCGAAGTCAGACGCCTAACCGACTGAGCCACCCAGGCGCCCCTGGCTATTGTTGATAATGCTGCTCTAAACATCAAGGTGCATATATCCCTTCAAAACTGTATTTTTGTATCCTTTGGGTAAATACCTATTAGTGCAGTTGCTGGATTGTAGGATAATTCTGTTTTTAACTTTCATACTGTTTTTCAGAGTGGCTGCAGCAGTTTGCATTCCCACCAGCAGTGTAAGAGGGTTCCCTTTCTCCATATCCTCGCCAATATCTGTTTCATGTGTTGTTAACTGCAGCCATTCTGACAAGTGTGAAGTGATTATTTCATTGTAGTTTTGATTTGTATTTCCCTGATGATGAGTGATATCCAGCATCTTTTCATGTGTCTGTTGGTCATCTGTATGTCTTCCTTGGAAAACTGTCTATTCATGTCTTCTGCCTATTTTTAACTGGATTATTTGTTTTTGGGGTGTTGAGTTTGATAGGTTCTTTATAGATTTTGGATACTAACCTTTTAACTGATATGTCATTTGCAAATAAATATCTTCTCACATTCTGAAGGGTACCATTTAGTTTTGTTGATTGTTTCTTCTGCTGTGAAGAAGCTTTTTATCTAGATGACGTCCCAATAGTTCATTTTTGCTTTTGTTTTGTTTGCCTCAGGAGAAAGTTGTTATGGCACAGGTCAAAGAGGTTACTGTCTGTGTTCTCCTTTAGGAATTTGATGGTTTCCTGTCTCACATTGAGGTGTTTCATCCATTTTGAATTTATTTTTATGTATGGTGTGAGAAAGTGGTACGGTTTCAGTCTTTTCCATGTTGCTGTCCAGTTATCCCAACACCATTTGTTGACAAGACTGTCTTTTTTCTATTGGATATTCTTTCCTGCTTTGTCAAAGATTCGTTGACCATAAAATAGTGGGTCCATTTCTGGGTTTTCTATTCTGTTCCATTAATCTCTGTGTTTTTATGCCAGTATCATACTGTCTTGATCACTACAGCCTTGTAATAAAACTTGAAGTATGGAATTTTGATGCCTTCCACTTTGCTTTGCTTTTTCAAGTTTGCTTTGGCTATTTGGGTAGTCTTTTGTGGTTCCAAAGTTTAGAATTGTTTGTTTTAGCTCTGTGAAAAATGCTGGTGGTATTTTGATAGGAATTGCATTAAATATATAGATTGCTTTGGGTGGTACAGACATTTAAACAATATTTGTTCTTCCAATCCATGAGCATGGAATGTCTTTCCAATTTTTTGTGTCTTCTTCAATTTCTCTCATAAACTTTCTATAGTTTTAAGCATACAGATCAGATCTTTTATCTCTTTGGTTAGGTTTATTCCTAGGTGTCTTATGGGTTTTGGTGCAGTTGTAAATGGGATCAATTTCTTGATTTCTCTTTTTGCTACTTCATTATTGGTGAATAGAAATGCAACAGCTTTCTGTACATTGATTTCATATCCTATGACATTGCTGTAATCAGTTCTAACAATTTTTGGTGGAGTCTTTCAGGTTTTCTACAAAGTATCATGTAGTCTGCAGATAGTGAAAGTTTGACTTCTCTGCTGATTTAGATGCCGTTTATTTCTTTTTGTTGTCTGATTACTGAGGCTAGGATTTCCAGTACTTTGTAAAATAACAATGGTGAGAGTGGACATCCCTGTTTTGTTCCTGACCATAGAGAAAAAGCTCTCAGTTTTTCCCCATTGAGGATGATATTAGTGTGAGTTTTTAATATAAGGCCTTTATGACATTGAGGTACGTTCCCTCTATCCTTACTTTGGCAACCATCAACTAGCTTTGGTTGTCCACATAGGCCATGGAGACTGTCCCTCAAGACCTCTGCTTATGCTTTTTTTTTTTTTTTAATTTTTTTTAATGTTTTTTATTTATTTCTAGGAGAGAGAGAGAGACAGCGTGAGCAGGGGAGGGTCAGAGAGAGAGGGAGTCACAGACTCTGAAACAGGCTCCAGGCTCTGAGCTGGCAGTCAGCACAGAGCTGGACGCGGGGCTCGAACCCACGAACCGCGAGATCATGACCTAAGAGAAAGTCGGACGCTTCACCAACTAAGCCACCCAGGCGCCCCCTCTGCTTATGCTTTTACCTCTGCTTGGAATTTTCTTTTTCTCTTCCCCTTCACTCACACCATATACCCTCTCCAACCACTTAACTCTTTTAGGACTTAACTTCTGTGTTTCCTCTACTAGAAATTCTCATGACCTCACCCTCTTTCCCAGGCTAAACTAGGTGACCTCTATCTTGAATTTACCTTGTGTATTATTGTGAATTCTTTTTCACTTTCTCTTTCCCACAAGACAAGGGATGGAACTGATGTTTTTAATCCTTATAATTCTAGTACCTTACAAGCACTTGACACTGTTCATTTGCTCATGATTAAATGCCCTGTGTCCCCTGCCCCCCACCTACAGAGATCTTTAAGTTATAGCCTAAAAGTGGTTTGACATTCGGTTTTAGAGATTAAGATGAAACATCTTCATGTTTAGCATAGGGGGAAAAGTATTTCTTTGGGGTCACATACTCTAACACAAATAATATACCAGATTAAAGGAGTGAGATTATAAAGCAAATAATTTCATTTCTTTTTTAAATTGATACATATCTTCATAAGTAATTGTATATAATTATGATCTGTACATTGTGCCATTTTTAATTGTGATACATGGTTATCTAAATTTTTTATGGTTGGAGACATTTATTTAGATTCTTCAGAGTAGAATTGCAGAGTTATTAAATACTAATTTATGTAGATACAGATAGATGTGGTTAAATCAACTGATAAATGATTAGTACCTGGTGCTAAGTGGTACCAAAATGATGCAGCACATTTGATATTTAGGACTAGTTATGCCTTTTTAGCCATTATTGTATAATTGAAAATTAGGTATTAATTACCAACCACAAACGAGATCAGTGGTTAGTTCCAGAGTTGAGTAATAGAGGAGTGCATTTTGGGGGGATTAATTTTCACAGTTCTTAGAGAGATAGTTGACTTTTAAAAGAACCAGAGTTGCTAATAAACACTGCAGAAAATAGAAATGTCATCTGTCTGTTGGAATGATTAGAACACAAATTATACCCTTTTACATTAGGATATTACAGCTGGTGTTTCTGAAAGACTCTCTTTACATATTATATTTTCCACTGTAACCAGTTTTGCTTTAAAAAGTAGCAGTTTGAAAGGTAAGGTGTTCATACTATTGAACAGCTCGGAGGTTGGAGTTCATCATTAGGTTTGTTACCTTAAGATGAGCATTTTGTTTTTAATATTTTTTCAGTCATTTTAATAGCAATACTTGTTTTTTTTCCAGTGGCCTACTTCCTAGTTAAAACTTTTTTTTTTTGTTAAAACTTTTTTTTTTTTAATTTTTTAATGTTTTATTTATTTCTAGGAGAGAGAGAGAGAGAGAGAGACAGCGTGAGCAGGGGAGGGTCAGAGAGAGAGGGAGTCACAGACTGAATCAGGCTCCAGGCTCTGAGCTGGCAGTCAGCACTGAGCCCGATGCGGGGCTCGAACCCACTAACCGCGAGATCATGACCTAAGCGAAAGTCGGACGCTTAACCGACTAAGCCACCCAGGCGCCCCTAGTTAAAACTTTTTAAACAATCACATGACAAATTATGTAATATGTGGTTTACTTTTCTTACTACAATTATTCATAAAAAGGAATTTTATGGAAATTATAAGCAATGGAAGTGATTGTTATTAACTGTGATTATAAACTGGTCATTTTCAGCAAATATTTTATGGCGAGTTGAATATTTCTTTTTTTGGAAATTTATTGTATAAAGAAATCTTATTAATAGTGGTAGGCTTTAGCTTTCATTTAACATGACAACTATGATGAATAATTTTTATGCCAATAGGATATTTCTATGTCCAGTTTCCAAATGGGTTATGTCTGGATATAATTGCACAATCAACTATTAATGTAAATTATTGTCCAGTGAGATTGTCTGAAGTGAACAATGACCATACAGGGGCTGAATTAAAATAATAATAAAAAATACCCTTAGATTCTAGAAGGAGGCCATTTCCTTTTTGTTTTCTTTTCTATCACTATGCCTTTTATATTTCCTGTTCTCCAACCCCATTTCTTCAAGATTCTACAAAAAGTGTTCTAGGAAATAATGTTGACGTTTACAATAAATTATAAATAGTAAGGAGACTTTGAAAGAATCAAAGAATTTTCACCACCTCCCACTTCTCTGTACCACCTGTGCCCAAAAGATGTAACTATTTTTCTTATGTTGGCTGCTATTCAGATTATCTTATCTCTTTTCCATAGTGATGTTGAACCGGAATGGCTGGACAGTGTGCAGAAAAATGGAGAATTATTTTATTTGGAATTGAGTGAGGATGAAGAAGAAAGCCTCCTTCCTGAGACTCCTACTGTGAATCATGTCAGGTTCAGTGAAAATGAGATTATAATTGAAGAGGATGATTACAAAGAAGGAAGAAAGTATGAACCTAAACTCAAGCGGTTTACCAAAATTTTAAAAAGTAAAAGTCTTTTACCCAAGCGCTATAATAAAAAAAATAGCAATGACAGTGAGCCAGTGTCCATTCTAAAGCATCAGTCCAACCAGAAAACAGGAGTGGTCGTCCAACAGCAGTACAAAGATGTGAATATTTATGTAAACCCCAAAAAGTTAACTGTGACCAAAGCCAAAGAGCAGCTGAAGCTTCTGGAAGTACTGGTTGGGATTATTCATCAGACCAAGTGGAGCTGGAAAAAAGCTGGAAAACAGGGCAGTGGAGAGAGACTTGTGGTCCACGGCCTATTGCCAGGAGGATCTGCTATGAAGAGTGGTCAGATATTGATTGGTAAGTGTGTTGGTGAACATCAGTTCTTGTTTGCAGAGATTCAGGATTAATAATGCCTTTTGAGACATGTGATCAAAACAGAATTATATCCAGAGTCTCAACAGATTAAGGACTACTCCATGATATTTGGGACAGTAGTGAAATTGTTTAAGCGTGGTGTACTGCAAGGCATAGTGTTATTTAAATAAGTACTTTGGTGAGTTGAATTTGTGTGTGCCTTGTTTAAGCCAAGGAATAGCTTATCTAATTTTTGAGTTTTGAATTATATAATTTTATTTCATCTTGGTTATATTTGCTGACAAGAAAAAGAAAATAAGTTGATTTTATAGTGATAATTTAGATTTCAATGACTTATTCCCAATAGCATAATATAAAAATAAAAATATGTAATTTATGAATAAAAATACTTTTAAATTGTATGTTTCCACTTGAGTACACTAAGTTCTTAAAGTGGTTTTAAACTGTTTCATTTGGCATATTTAGCCACAATGATGTTATACGTAAATTTCCTTTAAAAAGGGTGCTTGTCATAAAATATCTCAGCAATTTCAAGGGGAAAAAATAAATCCAATAGTTATTCTGGATATATATTAAAGTGAACATTTTGTATTGCTAATACATTTTTAGCTGTTGGATATAATTCTTGCATCAGTAGCAACTTTATTACTTAGGGAAAGCTGTATTAGTCAAATGTGAAAATATGTTATTAATGAAACTTAAAAGTTATTAACAAATCTGAAAGCTAACAGTCTTTTAAGTTGACTCAGCCTATAAGATTTATATAAAGGAACTTTTATAAATACTTTAGAAACATTTTTTTAAAAATATTTTTAAAAAACTTTTTTTTTAATGTTTATTTTTGAGAGAGACAGAGAGAGAGACAGAGACAGAGAGATAGCACGAGAGTTGGGGAGGAGCAGAGAGAAAGGGAGACAGAATCCAAAACAGGCTCCGGGCTTTAAGCTGTCAGCACAAAGGCTGATGCAGAATTTGAAGCCATGAACCTGATCATGGGTTCAGATCATGACCTGAGCCGAAGTAAGATGCTTAACTGACTGAGCCACCCAGGCGCCCCTACAATGTATTTCTCTAAGTCTGAGTTGCATTTGTTCGTTCATTGATTCAATAAAATTTTCGAGCATCTGTTAAGTGTCAGGAATACGAAGATTACTCTAATGGTCCAGTTACTCATCTTAAGAAGCTCATAGTGTGGTGGAAGAGATGGGTCAGAAACAGGCAGATAGTTTCACATAGTATGATAAGTGCCGTCATGGAGGTTTACAAGGATGAATCATGTAGGAAGAGCATCTGTGCAATGTGTGTTCCAAATGGTTGCAACAAGATCTCCATGTTCTCTTCTTACAGTGTAATGTTGATACTCCCCGCCATGGAGAGTTACAGTGTTTGTGTCACTTCCCATACCCCCTGGCCTCTGCCATGGGCCTCTGACTACAGCTCAAAGAGTATTATGTGATTTCAGAAGTAGGGTCATAAAAGGTGATGCAGCTTCTGCCTGGTATTCTTGGCATCCAGTTACCATTCTGTGAGCAAAGCCAGTGTACACGAAGAGGCCATGAGCCGTACTCTAGCTAATCACCCCAGCTGAGGCCTCAACCACCCTGCAGTATCAGCTACCACACACAAGTGAAGAAGCCTTCCAGATAACTCCTGCCCCAACCACCATGTGGCTGCAACTATGTGAGGATCCCTGAGTGAGAACCTCAACTAAGCCCAGTCAACCCCAGAACTGGGAAAGATAATAAATGGTGGTTGTTGTTTTAAACCACTTAGTTTTGGGGTCATTCATTATGCAGCAACGGAAAGCTGGAAGAGAAGCTAATGCATGCTTATATTCTCTCAAGTTCTCAACTTTCTGTTTTGTAAAATATCTCTAAGTTTTATTCTTTTCATTCTATCAAAGGAGGCCATAATTCATGCTTATGAAATCCTGCTTGGATTGCCAACCACCTTAATTTTAGGTACCATGTGATGGGTAACTCCAGCTAATGTACTGTCTATTTTTATCTGGGGCCTCTGTTCAGTACCTAATTGGACTGATTTATAGACACATCTATAAAATCCTTTTTACTCATTCCTCTTGAAACCTAGTAGAAAGGTGATTTGATCAGTGAGCATTCTCTTCCATGTTTCCTTTCCCATGATCTTCACTCCAGTTTCCTGAACCCTCTAGGAATGCTAATACCTAGACCTTGCCTCTAGGCCTGATCTTTCTGCACTAACTGTATTGGGAGGAAAGAGAATGAACTGTAGAGAGGAAGAAACTACTAGGTAGTATTGTTGTTTATCTTTAAAATAATGTAAAGATACATAGGATGCTAGAAGTGTACTTTCTTTTTTTTTTGTACAAATAGTTTATTATCAAGTTGGTTTCCATAGAACACCCAGTACTCATCCCCACAAGTGCACTCCTCCATGCCCATCACCCCCCTTCCCCACCCCACCTATCAGTCCTCAGTTTGTTCTCAGCATTCAAGAGTCTCTCGTAGTTTGCCTCTCTCCCTCCCCCCTCTATTTTCTCCCTTCTCTCCCACAGTCCACCGTAAAGTTCCTCCTAATCCTCCTATATGCGCAAACATGGTATTTGTCCTTCTCTGCCTGACTTATGTTGCTCAACATAACGCCCTCAAGTTCCATCCATGTTGCTACACATGGCCAGATTTCATTCTTTCTCATTACCATATAGTATTCCTTCGTATAGATAAACCACATTTTCTTGATCCATTTTTCTGTTGATGGACACTTAGGCTCTTTCCATGTTTTGGCTATTTTTGAGAGTGCTGCTATGAACATTGGGGTACATGTGCTCCCATGCATCAGCACTCCTGTATCCCTTGGGTAAATTCCTAGCAGTGCTATTGCTGGGTCATAGGGGAGTTCTAGTGTTAATTTTTTGAGGAAACTCCACACTGTTTTCCAGAGGGGCTGCACCAGTTTACATTCCCACCAACAGTGTAGGAGGGTGCCCGTTTCTCCACATCCTCGCCAGCATCTAGAGTTCTCTAATTTGCTCATTTTAGCCACTCTGACTGGTGTGAGGTGGTATCTCAGTGTGGTTTTGATTTGTATTTCCCTGATGAGGAGGGATGCTGAGCATCGTTTCATGTGTCTGTTGGCCATCTGGATGTACTCTTTGGAGAAGTGTCTGTTCATATCTTCTAACCATTTTTTCACTGGTTTGTTTGTTTTTCGGGTGTGGAGTTTGGTATCCAAAACCTATAGGGATAGCCCTTTATCTGATATGTCATTTGCAACTATCTTTTCCCATTCTGTCAGTTGCCTATTAGTTTTATGGATTGTTTCCTTTGCCGTGCAGAAGCTTTTAATCTTGATGAGGTCCCAATAGTTCATTTTTGCTCTTGATTCCCTTGCCTTTGGGGATGTGTCAAGTATGAAATTGCTGCGGTTGAGGTTAAGGAAGTTGTTTCCGGCTTTCTCCTCTAGGGTTTTGATGGTTTCCTGTCTCACGTTCAGGTCTAGAAGTGTACTTTCTGACCCTGAGTGTGGTTACATGAATGTGTTCATTTTTTGATAATTTATTGTTATACTGCTACAATTTGTGCACTTTTCTGCATGTTTATGGAATGGCAATAAAAAGTTAGGAAAATGAGGCTCATGATTTCAGTTTCATAATGGAAGCATTTCTGACTTACTAATAAGTTAAAAAAAACATTTGTCAGAATAAAATGGTTATTTGATCTTTGGTGCATAGCAAAACGCTTGATTGATAAATAAGCCCCCAAAAACATTTATTGAATAAATCCATAAACTGTGTAAAAAATATGCGTAGGGAAAACAATTAGATGTAAATATAAATACAGCAAACTGCTAATAGTGTTGGGTTAGTGCGGAGACATTATGGGTGATTTGTTTTCTCTCCTTTTTCAGGTTTTTAATTTTATGATTATGTTGTATATTTTTAAAGTTGCATACTTTGGGAATAAATAATGGACTATTTTAATGTCATGGTGAGTTTGATAATCTCACAAGATGAGATTTTCTCACTTGTTTTCTTCATAATTTCATTTCACACTGAAGTCTGTGGGTGAGTTGTGAGGTAACCCTGTAGGCAGGAGGATCATGAAAACTTTGTCATGGTAATGCAGTTTGCTGGGGTGACTTCTGTCGTTGTCTGTCTGGAGGATGACTTCCTTTGACTAAAATCCGTTGGCCAACACCTTGAGACCGGGGACTATTTGCATTCTTTCCTTTCAAGACAGCAGGACTCTATTCTATTCTGATTCTGTACTGGGATTTTAGGGGGGTTGCTGAAATTTTCAGTGCCATTTTTGCTCTTCTTACCACTGATTTGCATCTTTATTTTTTATTTTTATTTCTGAGTTTTTCCTAAAGTTTGACAGTTGGTTGCTTCTGGACTACCAATAGCCAGCCTCCATCCCCAGACCAAAGCAAATCCTCTTTTCACCTATATCCTAGAAACTGCATGTCACCTTGGTGATTTTTTTTCTTTAAGATGACCCATTTTTGCTCATTTTAACTAGGTGTTTTTTTAGAATTGGGAAGGATGGGGTTAGAGAAATCACACAGTAATGTTCTAGATACACATACCCGTATAGAATGTTTTAGTTCAACATTAACACAAAGTTTTTATTTTTATTTATTTTTTTTATTTTGAAGATTTTAGTTTTAAGTAATCTCTCACCCAATGTGGGATTCAAACTTACAACCTGGAGATCAAGGGTCAAATGCTCTACTGACTGAGCCAGCCAGGTGCCCCTAAAATTTTTATTTTAAGCTCTTTTTATGTAACTTCTCATGTTCTCACCTGTGATCACTGAATAGCTTTTTTTTGTATGACATGTTTGTGCTATTTCTCTTTTAAATTTTTTAAAGTTTCTGGGTTTTTTTTTTACTTTTTAAAAATCTTTTTGAGGTATACATTCATAAGATGGACAAATCTTAAGTGTACATTCATCGAATTTTGTCATATGTCTATACCTGTGTAACTACCATCTAGATCA